GAAAAGTTCTATAAAATATATAATTTTATCTGTTAAATACTTACAGGACTCCAGCTAGACATGAGGTGCTATGCTTATCATTGGAGATATAAAGATAGAGAGCTTAAAACAAAGCAAGAAGTACAATTCTGGCTTCCTTCATGGATTCAAGAGTTGACCACATGCGCTTTAAAATTTGGTTAAGGTCTATAAACCATTATACACGAAGAAAATTTTATTGCTTATCTCACGAAAACATACCTTGTGCAATAAAAACACAATGTGACAGATGCTTCCAAAAATGCAGCTAAAAAGCATAAGGACTCCTGTAAAGTACTAATTTTTTAGATTTGTATAAAAATTTTAATATTACAACAGCACACTATGTACATTTGTAAATGTTTAGATTTAATTGCTCTACTCTTATTTAATTGAGGAATGGTAATTGCCAAATGGATTTCAACGTTGACATTTGCCTTTAAATTTTCAGTTTACAAAGAAAAATTAAAAGCTTGCATGTAATATTCAAACTTTGATACATGTAAAAGAATAGTGAAAACTGATAGGGTTTCAACCACTACAGAAAACTGAATACTCCTAACAGCTGAAGTCTTTCCTCCTACTTCAAAAGGATTTTTTTTTTTTTACTTTAAAAAAAATATCATTTATTGGTACCGGGGATGGAACTCATGACCGCCTGTTTGCAAGGCAGGTGCTTATGCCTCTGAGCTAAATCCCCAGCCCCCTCAGAAGGATTTTTAATGACACTGTGTTTTATATTGCCTATTATCACAAGATACTTCCTTCATCTCACCACATCTTTCATTATGTGTCTGTGTGCAGTTTCAGAATTATGTCAGCTTTTAATTAAATATCTGATTATGAGATGATCATTTTCTTATTAGAATAATCCTGCTTAGTGTATTGGTTGGGTAGTAAGAAGTAGATCAGAGAGGTGCTTGATGGACTATGATATTACAAGAAGGTGAAACTACCCAGTTTATATTGTACAGAGAAAAATAGTCTAGGAAACAACAGGATGCATGGACAAAAGGAACATCAAGAACATTTCTCTTTTTTTTTTTTTTTTTTTTTTTTTTTCCGTATTTTTCATTTTTACTGGTACCGGGGATCAAACTCACAACTGCCTGCTTGCAAGGCAGGCACTTATGCTGCTGAGCTAAATCCCCAGCCCTGAGAACATTTCTTCAGTAGCTAGTGCTACATCCTGAAATGTGTCTATCATGGTTTGTATCTAGATGACACACGTAGCCTCATGCATGCATAGGTGTGACTTTGGGAGGTGACTGGATCATGGGTGCACGAAGTAGTGAGTTATTGTGAGTATGGTCTAAAGGATAATATGATGGACTCTTTCTTGTCTGTCATGCCATGATCTACCCCTCCTCTGCTATGCTTTTTTGCCGTAATGCCCTGCCTTGGCATCACCTAACTATGGACTGAAATCTCATAAACTATGCGCACAAATAATCATTTCCTCCTTCAAGTGATGGATGTTAAGTATTATGTCACAGCTATAAGAAGTAACTAAGTTAATTTTCCAATCATACGAGAGTGACTGTTGGGGATAATAGAAAAATAACTTTTTACAGCGAACAATACTAATTATCAAGGAAATAAACTCAAGAAGGATGGCTGTAATTTATTAATCTTTTTATTGCTTCTTTTCATACATTCTCCATCTAAATCCTATGAGAGTGTTAGAAACTAGTAATAGAACTTAACTGATTCAAAATCAACACTAACTATGGAGTTAGAAAACTATATTTAATTTCCTTAGGTTACTGCTTGCTATATGATTACACTAATCATTGAATTTCTCTGATTCTCAACAGCTTCATCTTTGTGAGGGGTCAAATTAAGTTTTCCTTAAAGTCCTCTAAAATTCCAACATGGTTTACTTCAGAGTGGAATACACTGTCCCTGTTTATTTAACAGGGTATTGATTCCATATAATCAGATATGCAAATGTCTACATGAAGGTACTTAAGAAACTTCTGACACCTACAAAAAGAGAACACTAAAAACAAAATAAACTCATAAGTAAAGAGTAAAATAAATTTCAGTAACTTAATGAAGTATATATGTATAATTGTGTCATGTATGACTTATATGTAAAAGAACAATCCAAAGTAATTCATTTTATTGAAATCCATCTTTGATATGAATTGAAGATTGGAAATAAGCTGAAGCATAGTGACATTTTGTTTCACAAAGAAGTTGCTTCACAATTTTTACAATAAGGTATAATCTTTTTGTTTCGATGTTCAGGGGATCAAACCTAGAAATGAATTCACAGTAGGCATACTCTGTACTACTGAGGACACCCCCAAATTTAACATATTACTAATGATACTTTTAGGTTAGATATATTTAGTGAGTTAATAGGTTAGAAATATATTGTTCTAAACATAAAATCCAGCTAGGAGATATAAAGTCTATGACTCTATTTCTTGACTGACTGAATGTACCAATACTTGAAAATTGTTTAATGTAACAGACATATATTTATTTATTTGCTAATTAATTTGCATTTTGTGAGACAGAGTCTCACCATATAGTAGAGAGGCCTTGAATGCACAGCAACCTTGAGATCCTCCTGCTTCTGCCACGTGCATTCCGGGATTAGGGTCATGGGCCAACACATGTGCTTTAATCTAACTTTTAAGTACTATAAATTACATTAAAACTCAGGACCTGTGGGCACAAAACAGTTTCTTGTCTTTTTTTTCATATTTTAAAATAACAGGCTTACATTTGTTATATATATATATATATATATATATTTTTTTTTTTTTTTTTTTTTGAGACAGGATCTCTTTACGTAGCCCAGTTTGGCCTGAAACAATCTTTTTGCTTCAGTCTCCTAAATGCTGAGATTACAGGCATGGACCACCAAGCCTGGCATAAAATAAAAATTTTGATGCTACATTTTTTACACTTGAAGTCCAGTTTGGTGACTTATTAAATAAATGTATTTCTTTGAATACCAAATGAGGTAGATAAGCTTGGATGTCATACTCCAATCTTAAATGAAAAGTATGTTGTGTGTGTATCACAAGTGTTACAGTTGTATTTATGAGTGTAATTCAGTATAGTGATCTTCTTAAATTGACTTCAGGTCTTCTTAATATTTGTCAGCCCCTGTAAAACGCAGAGACACAGAAAAATCATCAATTCTCTTGGTAAAATGAGGTAGCTGAAGAAAAAATTTTTGCTCTAGGACATCATTATGGTTGGAGTAAGATGAAGAAAAAAGAAAAGTTTTGTCAACATATCAACAAGTTCTTCCTGAAATTTTTCCCTTGACAAATTAGATAGTAGTAAAAAATATAGATCTTCAAGCACATCGATGTTTAGCTTTGTCATTATAATGTGCTATTTAGGTCTCTTTTTTCTGCAGCTATCTACTGATGATTTCTCTAATACTGATTACTGGAATGGAAATCATTATTTCCAATAGAATTTTTAAATCGTACACTTTTAATGGAGTTCAGACAATCCTGTTTGCATCAGGAATAAATTTTGCAGCAATTTGCTTATCCTGTAGTAATAAAATTTGAGGACAAGGGATTAAAGTAGGCATAAAAACAATATAGGAAATATTTTAATATGAATTTTTTGTGAGTAACACATCTTGTGATTCAAAATTATAATGATTTCTCATGGAGCAAGTCTCTTTTAATTTTTTTAAATTATTAATTAATATTTCAAATGGTCAATTTACATTCGAAAATCAAATTCACACAATCTGTGAGACTTATCATTCTCCACACTTGGTGATATATGATACAAGCACTCTCCAGAGCTGTCTGGCTTCTTTCCATTCCTACACCTACTGGATCTGCATATTATGAGCAGGAACAGGTTGGGGGTGCTGTGGACCCATGGAAAAGCAGAGGGCTTCAGGAAACCATTGCACCATGCAAAGACCACTTGGGACACTGTTGATTTGTATCTTATAGCAGAACTAAAACCAGAATGCATATTTAATAGAAGTTTTCTATAGTTTTAATTGATGTGAAAAATAACCATTCCCGATGTCATAATTAAAAGGATGTTATGTTTAAGAGCATGGTCAAAGCATACCAAAAGCACAAACATCAAATACTGGGCCATTGCCTAAAACTTTTCATTATTTTCAGAAAGGAAAGAAAAATAGCAGGACATAAGGAATGTCCTTAAATATCCATTGGAAAACAAGCAAATTGAGTTTATCTGTTTGGGGGTTTTTAATATTGGTTAATAAAGGACCTTAAAATGTTCACATTGCCTGCTTTATCACCCTTTCCTTCAAGTTCACTCTTCAAGGCTACTTACTACTCTTTTAGGAAAAAGAATAAAAACATTTCCACTGACACAGCTCGTGCCTTACATACAGAGAGAGAACAAATGAATGGAGTGGGGGATGGGGCAGTGGGTAGCAATGTGTTTGCTTTTCAACCGCGGAAAATAAGATTACTTACCAAGAGCACTGCTATCCACGGCAAATGTTTATTTCTTCTATCATTCGGCGACTCAGTGAGCAAGAAATCAATTTCCCCTTTACCCTGTACCTTTCTTTTCCTGTTTCAGAGAGCGAGAGAGAGAGAGAGAGAGAGAGAGAGAGAGAGAGAGAGAGAGAGAGAGAAGAGAGAATGAAAGCCAGAGAGACAATGAGAGAGACAGAGATAGGCAAAGGACTACCACTGCACTCTATACACAGATGCCACCTCAAAGAGTGATCTCGCTGGGTCAGGGATAAGAATCTTCTCCAAGGAGAGTACTCTTGGTTGGGGAGGTGAATTTATCCAGGGCCAAAAAATAAATCATCTTCAAACAGAATTACCAACCTCTCAAACAGACAGTTCCCCAGGGAAAGTAGGTTTCAAAGAGGAGAGAGAGAGAGAGAGAGAGAGAGAGAGAGAGAGAGAGAGAGAGAGAGAGAGAGAGAGAGAGAGGACCAGAGGGGGAAGGAGGGAGAGAGGAAAGGAAGGAGAGAGAAAGTGTCCAGTAAGACGAAAAGGGAAGGTGAATAAAGCTAATCTTACCGGATCGATCAGGTGATCGTTTATGCAGCAGTCAGAAGGGGAGATGGCTCGGCAGTGTGCTGGCAGCAAAGCCATTTCTAGCCACTGTCCCTCCGTGACTGTGCAGCGATCAGAGGGAGGTGCGCGCCTGGCTGCCGGCCTGGCTCCCGGGGACGGTCTGCACGCTGGAGGCTGCTGCGACCCCACTTACAGCAGGGCTTCGGGCTTCGCAGGGAGATGAGTTGCCCGGAGTGACCAGCGGCAGGAATCGCCGGGGAAGCGGGACCCGGGAAGCCTGTGCAGCCACCTCCTCTTGCCAGATCTCTGGGTCCCAGCCCAAACCACCAAGCACAGAGACCTCCAAGTGCCCAGAGACTGTGCCGCAGCCCGATGCTCAGTCCTCCCGGTCCCTCACCATCCCCCTCCCAGGAAAAGCACATCACTGACGCTTTGGTCATCACAGTGCGATCTGTGCTGTGGTTTATTTGGGGTGCTGGTTGTGATGAGTTTCCTCCCTCAGTTGCGGACAGTGAAGGGAAATCCTAGTGAGATGCGCTGGTGGAATACTATTAATCCTAATAATCGTGCTCCCAGAGCAGGTAACTCTTAAAGAACTGAGACTGGGAAGAGGAGAGGATTTCTGAAGCGGTGCCCTCTTCAATTCTCATTGGATCCTCCCCAGGAGCCTCAGAGATGCTTGCCGCTCTATCTATCAGGATGACTACAGCCTTGCTCACTAGTTCCCTTTATCTCGGTGTCTACAATACATCCGTTTACTTCTCCTTGCAGATTTATCTGTATTCCACCTCCTGTCCCTCACTGTGTAGGGATACACGTCCTATAAATCTTCACTTTGCCTAAGGACCACCACAAATAAGCCCTCTCACCACCACAACACCCAGCTCCAAATAAAAGCTTCTCCTTACATTTTGTTTCCTTTCTTGGGGCTCCCAGCTGCCCGTGCCACTGGTTTTCTCTTGGTTACATGCCACCAGGAACTGCTGATTATTTCAAAGTCCTGCTATCCTGCAGAGCACTGCTTTACCTTGATTTTGAAGACCATGGAATATCTGTTTGAATCTTGGATGTATTTTTCTCACAGTCATCTTGCTTCCTGAAATTTCTTCTGGTAAGTTATTCTTTTTTATACATTGCCTGTAACTAGTGTTATTTTGAAGTGTTGTTTGTTATGTTTCATTTTTGCATTTTTTTTAGCTTCCAGATCTACAAGATCTTTACCATTTATTAATTAGTATACTGGTTGGAACAGAACTACAAGGAGTAATGCATTTAATGTGTTATTCCCAATACATTATACATTCTTTCTAAACTTTCTTTTTGTCATTTTATTACAGCTTATATGGATATTAACTGTCTCCAACACCCATTAACCCTTCTGGGCACATCTTTTTGTGCCATTTGAAGGGTCAATTTTCATGTTTATCCAAAGGCAGGCTTAAATGAGATTATTGGAGGGTTTGGGAAAGTTTAGTACTCTTTCTGGTCTTCAGAAGGTTGTACAGGTCAGTGTGTGTTCATCTCATTGTAAGCAACCGCATGACGGGGGGGGGGCTCCCAAAAGTACATTTTTATGGATTTAGCTGAAGCCTAAGCACCAACATGCTACTGAGGGGTAGGAAGAAGAGAGTCAGTTTGAAAGCACCGTGTTTTTTCTAACAGCTCCATAAATCACTCCTGACCACATTATTTTGGGCACTGCATCTGAATTCAGGCACAGTACCTGGAAGTACGTTTCTGATTTTGTGAATTAGCAGGTGAGCAGTTAATTGGACAGGGAGTGCTCCTTTCATCGAAAGAGAGCTCTCAGAAGGAACCACTGATTATTCTGGCTCTAGTAAATTGAAATTCAGGGGCAAACTGTACATGAAAATTGTAATCGCCTTACTTTCACACTTTCCCACACCCATCCTGAATTTTCAGTAAGCCTTTTAAGGTGCTCACTGCTTCATGCTATTATGCACAGTTCTGTGGGCATAACTGACAGGGTTGTCACCTCCCCATTAAGTATAGTTGTCTTGAGAAACATTTAAATCTGCTGTTACTTCACACGTTGACAAGAGATTGATATTCACTAAACACGAAATCTACATGTTTCAGCGATGCCTAATATGCACTGAAGATTTTCTGTGAACCCGCCCACCCCCAGTACAAGTTTCTGGTTTCTGTAACATCTCCCCTTATCTGGATGGATAGAGATGAGAGCCTATTGTTAAAGCTTTTCTTTCCTTCCTTTTCTTCTTCTTCCCTGTCTTCTTTTTTCTTTTAATTTTTTTTTCTTTCTCTGGAAGAACTATTTCTGTCGTCATTAAAAGCTGACGCGAAAACCCAAGCAATTATTGTTATTATTTTAATTCGCAAGCCCTGTTAGCTCCCAGACATAAAAGTGCTCCAGCTGCGGCGCACCCCATCCCCCGCCTGCCTCCAGGCCCCACCGAGGGCTTCCCCCTCTGGCTGCGCGAGGGAGGATCCGGCTGGCGCTCGCCCGCAGCACTTGGCGCCCCTCACCGTCTCCAGTCTCTACCTGGTCTCTTTGCTAGTGCGATCACCAGGCAGTGCCATCGCGCCCGCGACTTCACTGGAGGAAACCAGGCTTGAGTGTAATTCTCCAATTCCAACACCCTCTCTGGAGGACTGCGCTGCCGCGGAGCAGAGGTGCAGGGAGGGGGAAGGAAAGCAACTTTCCGTGCAGTCAGGTCTTTTCTCTGTAACCTCGTCCGCTCCAGGAAGGCGCAGACACCCGGAATTTAGGTGAGTGTGTTTTTTCCAGCCTAATCCGAGGCTTGCACTTGGCAAAGGGAAATTGACATCCGAGAGGCTCAGCAGCCCGGGGCGTTTTAAGCGGAGGGCTATCAACAGGCTACTCTGACTGGGGATCTCTCCGCAGGTCCGGGCTGCAGCTAAGCCACCTGGGTCCGGGGGACGTGGAGGGCGAGCGAGCGAGCCCCCGGCGACTCTGTGCCAGGCTTCGTGCCCGGAGTGGGGGCACCGCGCGGTGGCACCGTGTCCCTGGCTGGGACTGCACTGGGCGCCTGCGGCGAGCCGGGGTTTGGCTGGGCTCTTGCAGCCCGGGAGAGTGTCCTCGGGGGCTTCCTATCCTTCCGGAAGGCGTCCTTGCCATCCTTCCTCGGCCCGAGCTCTTCTGTAGGAGAGGACTGATGGGAGATGTCTGGGATCGCTCATTAACGCCTTTTTGTGTCCGTGTTTATTGTTTGTAATGAGTTGTGTCTTAGTAGATGACTGTTTTTTTAGTGAGCTTGCTTGGTAAAGCCTTAGGGGCTGTCTTCCTGCAAATGCTCAGCGGGGTTTAGAATTGCTGAATGACTTCTTGGGATTCCCATTAAAGTGCTGCTTACCATATGTCCTTTCCTTCCGTTCCTAACACCCACAAATCCGCAGGGCGGTAAGGTGAGGCAGAGTTGGATTCCAATTTGGAGCTAGAGTTTGGAATAATAAGGCTGGAGTTAGGAGTAGAGTCAGGCTTGCGAGCTGTCTAGCTTCTGTGACAAGCACTCTAAAGTTGGGCTTTTACCCCTCCCCCTCTGCTGGGGTGGGGGTGGGGGGCAGGAGGACCTGGGTGCCCCAAGAGGGATGGTGCTTCTTGGCCAGGGGTGACTGCAGGATCCTTAACCAAAGGGTGGCAGAGTTTGTCTCTGACGGCTGTTTTCTCCAGGTCCCCAAGAGTTGAGCCAATGAGCCTTGTGCTCTGCTCCAGGTCCAGATAGCCATCAGTCCTTTAAGGCAAGGACCTCTTTCTAGTCTCCCACTGGGAAAGTAGGCTTTAGTTCAGAAGACCAAATGTGTATTTCCAGGTGTGTGCAATGCCAACCGGTTGTTTGGAAAGAGGTTGCGATGTCTAGGGTTACAAATCAACCCTAGTGACACTTACAAATATGCTAGCCGGTCACATGTATGTAAGCAAAGAGAAAGGAACCAGGATATAAAACTGTCACAGCAGCGTGGAAGACAGATGATCAGATTCTGGGGACTTTTTTTTTTTTTTTTTCCTTTTGCCTGTTTAGATTTGTTTGCCATCATGCAGTTTTGCAGGTAAGCACGGAATGTCTGTATTTTATTGACAGCCAGATAACCTGTGTTTGACCCATCCTATGATGCTTTCACCCCTCCTTCAAGTGATGGAATACGAGCCTTTTCGGATGTGCCTGCTATAATGCATAACTTCTTAATATTCACATTCATGGATCCATTTAAATCCTTTCAAATTGCTTAATCTATATTTGTTTAAGTGTGAAACATGGATTTTCTTAAATGTTTAACAGCATGACAGAAACCCTAAGTTGGAACTAGGTGAGGGAAGGAAACAGTAAGGTAGAGAGAGAGAGAGAGGAAGGAAGGATGTATAGCCCTAATGAAATATGGACGATGGCAGTCGCAGAAATGCTTTAAAACACTATTTCTTGCTAAGGTCACGGATTTTAATGATAAAGGACACTGGAAATTGTTAAACACACCTTGAGCTAGCAAAGTGATTTGGACTACTTGAAAGAAATGTGGTATGATATTTTTGTGGTACTTCTCAATTTGAAAAAAATAAACATAGGGAGGGAATGGGTTGGGTTGTTAAATAGGATGAGCAGAGTTTGTCCAAGGACAGTGCTTGGGATCACCTTAGCATAAAGAGTTATAGAACAGAGAACTATTGGAAAAAGAATAATAAAAAAATCAAGTCAAAATCAGAAAATTACAAGAATTCTCTCCCAAATAAACCTCTTTAAAACTAAAAGTTTCGTAGCTATGTAGATTGAGCAGTTCGCAAGTTTCTATCAGAATTAAATCAATTAAATTGTCAAAATACTTTATTGTTTTAATAAGTGTTGATATTATTGCTAATATTGTTTTGTTGTATTTTACATATATAGCAAAGGACTTGAAGTTTCCACTAAGTGAAGCAGAGAGAGAGAGAGAGAGAGAGAGAGAGAGAGAGAGAGAGAGAGAGAGAGAGAGAGAGAAACATAATCATGAAATCATTCCACTTGTTACTAACATTTTATTATTGGAAAAACTATATTTTTATAATTTTTCTCTGGAGATGCATTTATTGATGTGGATCTCTAATCAATATCTTTTCTGCTTTGTAAGGCTTATATGATTTTCAACAAATAAGAAAGATAGTAATTCTATATTCAGATTATGAAATTGCAAGGTTATAACCATATTTTCAGTTTTTGCAAAAGTCAGAGTTTACCTGAGAAAGTAATTGATCAATAAATTCTAAATTCTCAACTCTTCTGTACATTAGCTCCCTGTATATTGTTCTTATTAGGTATGATTAGCGTGTGTGTGTGCGTGCACACATTCATGCATTTTTGCAAGGATGGAGAAGATACTTACTTTCCATCCACATTGTTTCGAAATCAAAAAGAAATAAACATGATAACAATGATCTACTTTATCTTTTAATCTGGTAATATAATATGATTTCATATTTCATAGGAATTTTTAGCAAGAAACCCAACATTGTGACTAGATTGCACTTTTTTATGAACTACTGTGCATACTATTTTGTTTCAGGAAGATAATATACTACAGTTAAGTAAATGAGACACAAATAGAGAAATTATTGGACTGAATGAATGTTTTTGTGTCAGATATATATACATATTCTAAATATAATAAATATAAATATATAAATATATATGGTAGAAATTATATATATAAATATATAAATATAATATATATGGTAGAAATTATATACATATATATATATGTATATAATTTCTACCATTAGTTATGTGTCTAGATTTCTGTGTTCCTTAATAAATGTATAGGTTCTTTTCAGAACACTGCCTTTGTATGTTTTTCTCAACAAGTGTAGAGAACACATCTGTTGGACTATCCAAACTTAAATGCCTCATTAACAACCTATGATTTGGTTTTGCATATTTCCTGCTTTTTTATTTTTTCATATTTATTATCTTTAAAATGATGAATAACTGATTAGAATTACTATTTTAAAATGTTACTAGTTTAAGAAACAGGAATATTTAAAGAGTTCTGACACACATGAATGATACCAGCATGTGATATGTTAGGCACACATATTTTTTTTTTAAATTATATTCCAAAAGTGTTTGGTAATATTTATGCCTG